ATTTCTGACGGAATTTTTACAGGCTTGCGGCTCATGAAAACCCTAACCAACAAAGGCATGGCAGCAACGGGAACAGTTCGAGCAACTAGGATAGCAAAGTGCTCTATCAACAGGAAGAACCTAGCAAATTAAACATGGGTGCCTATGACTACAGGTTTGACAGGCGAGATGACGCGTTTGTTTTCTCTTAGAATGACAGTTCCATTGAAACTCTTACCAGCAACTCTGTTGGCGTATGTCCTCTCACCAAAGCAAATAAATTCTCCGCAACGGACTTATAACACATATCTATTGAACAGCCTAGCATCGTTAGCAAATTTGACATTTCGATTTGAACAGCGGATCAATTGCACCAAAATAGCACTCAATATGGAGTAACCTTTTGCAGTAAAAGGTGGTGTTTACTACTCATCGCTTATCTCTTTAATGCTGCAACGAACACTGCCATCCTTTTCACGAAGACCATCTGCACGTGAGCAAGTCCCCTACAACATGCCTTCCTTTAAACGAACTGTCGTGCAAGTCAACTTGCAGTGGTATCTAGCAGATGTAAATGTCTCACAAACTATTCTTCCACCCATCAACAAACAACGAAATCTTAACCTTAGAATAAGGACATCTTGATCTAGATGCCACTTGGAGTTAATGGCAAAACAAGGCAGATGCCGTTATAATGGGTAGAAGGTTAATCTGCTCTGTCCAGTGTGTGATGTTCCACTACATAGAACCCGCTCGGCGGCATGCCGTAAATGAAAAATGGAATACATTATTATTCTAAATTCGGGCTACATATGCTTGTATAGTATTTTACTGCTGCTTATATTACCTCGTCGAGGAAAACACAAACACCGTCATTTCAAAGCTAAGAAATTGTACATTTGTTCATAAAATGTGGTTTTCTTTTTCTGTATTCCCATGTCACTGCATCAATTTTTGCTGCGGTCCGTGAAAAAATGACCTTTTGAAATATTCAACATATTTCCCAAAAATTAACTTTTCTGAAATCAGGCCTGCTGTGAGTATAATTCTGATATTTATTAGAACATATGTAAGGCTGAGGAAAATTAAAATCTCAGCAACTAGATCAAAATTACCGGAATTAACCAATTCGATGGACTTTACCGTATACAGCGCTTGGGATGAAATGAATGAGACACTCATTCACAGGTCATGACTGCTACATAAATTGACGTGTGTGTAAACATAGTAGCATGAAATTAACCTGCTTATATTTTCCTTTCATCTTCGCAGCTAATTATTTAGACTAATTCAACATCAAATTAGCCTGATGCAGGATCGTCATATTTTGGTTGAAGATGACACTACTAATGGATAATATAAGTAGCTAGCCACGAGGCAGTTTGATCAAGGATAAGCACAACGACTTCGCACAAGCAATCGTGTTATCCTGCATCCAAATGTTTCGTTACGAGTTAGTGTGTACGGTAAGTACAAACTACACTATAGAACAATGGTTCACAATGCTGTTTTCTAAAGTATACCGAATTGCAATCAAAGCATGAGTTAAATAAATAAACATTTTTTGTGAATTGTCGCTAAAGAGCACAAGCGAGTTTCTTCAGTTGGAAATTGCACTGAAAGTTGCACTAAATAAGTTAATAAATTTTTGTTCTTTACTAAGGAAGACATGCCTACACATGCATGATCATGGTAAGAGTACAAAAATGAGCAACTCACGTACCATAGTACAAAAAGATTGTCATATGTGTTGATACATCAATTTAGGCATGTGTGCATATAGGTTGGTGTGGCCGTGTTGCTTGGCTTGGTAAATAATTTGCTGCAATTTTGTTTGTGTTCAAACATGACGCCATTGCTAAAGGTGTGTTTGACGTCCGTAGATTTGAAACAAATGTACGGATAAGCAAACGGCGGTTACTTGGTTGGTGGTGAATCACAACCTGTACGTCACAGTGTTGTTAAACGAACACACGTGACTTTTTATAGAGAGAACGCTACTCAGGCGAAAATCCAACATTTCTTGGAACACTACTGCGAAATATTTGCTGAAACGGGTAAACCCAAACCACCCAGCTAGCAGCAAAGTTCTTACCATTAAGTGAGGTAATAGATTTGGGGACATTTGAGTCAGTGGTTTACTCCGTATGAATACGTGCACAAACTTGCAACATCTACTAGTATAGCCTTCCTCACTTACTTGGTTGGCTGGACGGACGCTTGCTGTAGGCTCTGCTTGGAACCGTGGATGCGCTTTTGGCTTGATGTGCTAATACAAATGCCAGGTCAATTTCGTCATTCTCATCCATCGTGATTGCTTTTTGTGCCATAGGTTTAGCTACTGGGAACTGATGTCCGTCGTTTGCGTCTGCGTTTACAGAGCCAGTATTGATTGGAACAGGTACAAGCGAATGGCTTTCAATTTCTGGCTTTGGTTTCCTGTCAGGGCTTCTAATGAAAACTTGTTCTAATATGAGAAATAAGATTATACGTTTTGTAATTAGTTGATTAAGCCTTATGGTAAATTGTCATCATCAGGTAGAGATGGAAAAAGGTAAACTCTGGGAACTCGATCTCAAGGTGTCACATCATTGGCCCGAAATAGCATCGGTTTTAATCAGCGTCGGTGTGTCAGTTCTAAAACGAGCTAATCCACAGTTTGGCTAAGGGGCTCTGCAAAGTATTTGTATACGCTTAGTGTCCTTGTTTCTCAGGGATAAGTCGTTCACAGTCTTTTATCCTTCAGGTGCAAAAGTAGTTAGATCTGCTTGTGTACAGAACAGAAACGATCCGTTATCTCTATGGGTGTGCATGCAGTGCCATGGGAATTATGATTAACCGAAGTTAGACTTATGTACACACAGTGAGTTCGTTCCCGTTGGTGAAATACACTTGCTGATATAAACATCAAATCAGCTTTACAGTTTCGTACAAAAATACTGTGGCTAAACTTAAACGACAGTGTTGTTACCGTTGTCACTGGAACAATGGCGTAATACGGATAAACATGTCAAGGGTTGACAGGTCCCGTATGATTGTTTCTGGGAATAACATTAGTTCAACAATGTTGCATAAAAGTGAAAAATCGCATCAGTGGACTCATTCTATTATCCACATTAACACAAAGGTATACCAGTCTACCGCGATTTCGTGTGGTTGGTGAGCACGATATTTGCCTGCGCCGTGTCGTCACTCAGTGAATATAAATCAGTTCAAATAATGTAGGTGGTGTAATGCAACATCGAGTCGTTTTTGTACAAACGGGCAGCGTGGGCGCGGAAATGACAACCGTTGCAAGAGTGTTCCACAGTTGACAAACTCGAAGAATAATTCCGGCAGCAATCCAACCGACTGTATTTGGTGATAAGTTTCAACTTATGACCCCACAATTCTGTGTTGCGGCTAAGCTTAAGGAAGTGGGCGTAGGCGCCAGTGGAGTTTTTCAAAATCTGTAAAGGCAGGATGAGGTCACCTCATAGACGGCGGTATCTGCAGCTGTACATTTCTACGGCTTTCCGTCGCCTATGGTTTTTCAGGTGCTACAAACCCTTCACATTTTTTCTTACACATCTCTGTGCGGTATCCAGTGTAACCAGTTCGCGTTTTAACAAGGGTTGCAAACTCTGGATTTTGTACTGTACATGGGGCCTCACATGCATTGAGAATTTGGGAGAAGGTGGAGGGATCGAACCTCTCGAACGTACTCCGTAACAGCCCAACTTGTTAATTTGCGGTGTTGAGCAGCTGTAGGGACTGCGCCGAACAGTTTAGATCATCTTACGCCACCACCTTAATGTTTCGCTCTTGTTAGGCGGTTTTCAGCATGTAGTCTCCACCCTTATATGCATAGTGCACGGTTTTGTACTTGTCCGTGTTAAACGGAAGTACCTATTCCTTTGAATATTCAGACCGCGGGCTAAGTCTCATTGCAGCAAATCGTGCTCTTTCTGACAGCCGATTGCCCGCTATATCTTGAAATCATCGGCAAAAAGCAGGAAATTTGACTTGATGACACTCGCAAGGTCTTTAATGAGGAAAGGGAATAATCGCGGACCCAACACTTACCTTTGTGAAACACCGCAGTCCACAATAATTAAATCAAAATTTGAGCGTCGAACGCGAAACCGAACGCGCGTTGACGGAGCATGTTTCCTATTCATCCAAGGGCAGGCTTCCCAACTTCGTACGCTTGCAGGTTTTGGCGAAGGATGAGGTGATCTATACGATCGAATGCTTTGGAAAGTATAGGTAGATGACATCAATGCCGGTTCCCACTCTCGGCTATCTCAGTCCAACTGCCACGGGCAATTAGTGGATTGGTAGTACATGACCGATGCTGATGGAATCCGTGTTGGTCCAGCGGTGTGATGTTAGATCTTTCGAAGTAGCTCATTACAACCTCGGTTGCGATCGATTCCATCACATTTATTAGCAATTGGAGGAGAATAACTGGGCGATGGTTTGCGGACTCTGAACGGCTACCACTAATTTTGAAAATCGGGGTAATGATGCCTTGCTCCCACATGCTAGGGACCTGCTGTTCGTCCAGCCATCTTTGGAAAAACCTCCTTAGTGGTTCAGCTATCCTCGTAGCTACCACCTGCAGTGCTTTCGGTGGAATGTTGTCAGCCCCGGAGGAACTATTGGTGCGCAACGAGAGCGGCTTCCTCAAAATGGTCGCCGAACTAAAGCTGACGTCTGCAAATACTGTCCTCTGGGAGTTTGGGACAGGTATGTTACACGTGCTGGTAGCACGTCGGAAAATTGGAGCATATTGGAGCCGTAAAACCTTAGCTGCATCCAAGGCGGTTTGAGCACATCCATCCGCTGATATTGGTGGGGAAACACCACGTTTCACATTCCGGAGGCTGTTCACATGCCAGTGCAAAAATCTTGTTGTTAGCACAAAACTTTTCAGCTAGACTGCTGGTGTACTAAGGTGTCCTCACGCACAAGTGTGGTACGGTGATTCCCATGCACAACATAGTTACCCCAGTTGTCAGGGCTAGGGTTCGTTCTATACACATGCCATACGGCGTCTCTTACTGTCATGTGTTTCGGGTTCTGCTCCGAAGGGATGATTGCGTTCTAGACGAACAAAGGTTGCATTGGCCGATGCAGATTTAATCAGGTCACTGAACTTGCCAGTAAACTCCATCCAAGCACTTACAATAGAACAGTCGTTCGAAATATCCCAGATGGCACTTCTAACAAGTACCGTCTGCATGTCATAGTGGGTGATGATTCGAAACAAGTTACTGTTCATGAAGATACTCCGCATAGCACAGGAAGTCGTAAATTATGGTTACGTGGTAGCTGCGCCCCAGAAGGCTCTCCATTCTTGGATTCTCAATCATGAGCTCTTCGTTCGTGCGCACTAAACTGAGCACAGATCGTTTATTCCCGGCTTTGAATCGGGTTGGCGAACTGACATGGCTGAAGAGCGGAATGCTTGCAATATACTCTTGCAGGTCTGTCTTGAATTACTCGTTGGTGGATGCCGGAATTTCCAACTCTTGAATATTGAAGTCGTCGGAGCTGAGAACATGGCTGTGTCCTCTTCGTAGCACCCTTCCCAAGGAGAATGTCAAGCGGGAGTCCATCTCTGGATTGGACATTGGGGGACGATAAACAATGGCCAAAAGACAAGTGCCGTTGCGTCTCAGTCGCATACTGCACCAGATGGAGTCTATGATCAGCATTTCCGGATCGACCAGTCGTTCGCACTGGAGGTTGTTGCAGAAGTATAACCGTACCCCCGCCCTTGCCAGAGCCGTCGTTTCGGAGAAGCGTCATACCATTTACTACGACTTCGGCATCGGTAGTTTCTGAGTGTAACCATGTTTCCATAAGGAGTATGAGATCCCACGCATGTGACGCTTGACGTAGCGGCAGTTCGGCAAGCTTGTTCAGGAGACCATGTGCATTGGTGTAAATACAGGAAACTTTCTCTATTTTCGCCATGCATCGTGAGATGTGGTTTTGGATAAAATTTTGCGCCGACCGGTAAACGTCGGTAACTAATCGTTTTATGGGCGAGGGAATTAGTAACTCATCTGTCCAAATCATGGATCCAACCATTGCGTCCTTGTTTCTCTCTTTGTATGTAGTGTATGGGGTGTGTTTGCCAGTTTTGCTGGCTAGTTGCTTTAGATTGTCCGAACTCTTGTCGGGAAGTGGTCCGACTAATTGGCTGCTCACGTGTGTTTTCTTAGAAAATGCTGCTTTGATCCGAACCTCGAAAGGAAGGCTGCTGCGGCCCGCATACCAGCCCTCCAGCACCGTTGCTGGCAATTTTCTAGTTTGAAGAACCACTTTCACAATCCTCGGGTCACATCCTTTGTATTTTGGCGATCGGCGCAGCCTCAAGGTTGATTGCGCTATGAAGTTTTCCGGGTACAAGGTCTCGCCAATGTGTCGTCATTGTCCCTCGTCATGAGTAGTCCCTTCGCGCTCATCATGACTGCCAACCTCGGGAACGCCGTGTACCAAGATAGTCTTGGCTACGGTTTCCTTCCCTTTTTCGTCCAAGCGGTGTTTCGCCTGTCTGTGCTCGCTCCACGGAATCTCGGGAAACAGGCGGATGCAACGTGATCTATTCCGGAGGCGAGCTGTCGATAACGGAGCAGCTATTCATTGGCGGAAGTCGACGTAACTCGGGGAAGTCTTTGATCACTGTAGCGCTGTGAGTTTTGGTGACGGGTAACGCGTGACAAACTGACGGGCTTATTTACAACACCTATGATGTCACAAAGGTAGTTCCACTGGTTCACGTCATCAAATTGCTTTTCCTTTTAACGGATTTTACGTTGATTCTAGAACTTTGGCGCAAATTACCGCTAGTATGCTACGCGGAACTGGCGTTGAACTTAAACGACCAGCTGGTCTGTATACAGCCGATGGAAGCTGGGTAGGTACAGCTTCGTCTTCATTTATTCTGAGTCCAGTGGGAGTGGTCGAAAGTCCAGGTTTCCGGTCAAGTTTGGCAGCAACCAATTTCCAACTGCCATTGGTGATGACGTCCTTCTGTATTTTGGGAATCGTTTGGGGGGTGGACGAGGCCCTGATCGTGCTCATTGCAGTCGGATTGGCGGTGGTTGTTCCAGGCATATTTGAGCAACTGGTGATATTGACGTTTGGAGCCACAGATTGGACATTGTCATTGTGCTGCTCAGGCTTCTTCCTCTGTTTTACTGCGGGGCATAATATGAAGGACTAGAATATACTGTCTGTCACACTTTCTTCAAATGAATCGCTTTCGGTGCTCCTCCTATGTTAAAGTATTAGCATCAATCTTTCGTATTTCGGCGATAGTTCGTGTACAATGTTTACCAGTGGGATGATTACACATACTGAACAGGACCACAGTGAATCTGGTTTACCTTTACGCAGCTTCAACGGCTTCGCTGTGAGCTTGGAACATTCGTGATGGAACTTGCCTTGGCAACCGCTACACTGGATTACAAT